GTCTCTCACGACTTCCCCAACTTCCCCTTCTATTTGCCAAGGATCTGAGGGATACGGTTGCCTTTTGCCTCTACAGCAAGGGTCCACAACATGGTTCCCCGTGGTCACCGTGGCAACCGCCAACATCTTTCCTGGTGCCCGCCATGCGTTTTTGGAAAGTGGGTGGGCCCAGGTGTGGCTTTTGCCCAGCAAGGTTTCTCATTGGCCGCTGGAGATTTGATTGGCTTGCACAAAATTTTTAAAACATTGCTTTGGCAGTAGCTGCCACCACAGCACAAGGACCTTCAAATGTTTAACTGAAATTATTACTGAGACCCAGTTTGATGTAGTGATTAGGAGCACGGAGTCTGATCTGGGAGAACCAGGTTTGATTCCTCACTCCTTCCACATGCAGCTGCTGGTGTGACCTTGGGTCAGCCACAAGTTCTCTCAGAGCTGTTCTCTCAAGAGTAGTCCTCGAAACAGCTCTCTCAGCCCCACCTACCTCACAGGGCAGCTGTTGTAGGGAGAGGAAGGAAAGGAGATTGTAAGCCGCTCTGAGACTTCAAGTGAAGGGCGGGGTATAAATCCAATCAGTTTGGTGTGACAGCAAGTTTGGTGTAGCGGTTAAGAGTAACGGACTCTAATCTGGGAGAACCGAGTTTGATTCCCCACTCCTCCGCATGCAGCTGCTGGTGTGACCTTGGGTCAGTTACAAGTTTTCTTAGAGCTGTTCTCTCAAGAGGTCCTTGAAAGAGCTCTCTCAGCCCCGCGTACCTCCCAGGGTGTCTGTTGTGGGGAGAGTAAGGGAAAAGAGATTGTAAGCCGCTCCTCCACATGCAGCTGCTGGTGTGACCTTGGGTCAGTCACAAGTTTTCTCAGAGCTGTTCTCTCAAGAGGAGTCCTTGAAAGAGCTCTCTGAGCCCCACGTACCTCCCAGGGTGTCTGTTGTGGGGGGAGTAAGGGAAAGGAGATTGTAAGCCGCTCTGAGACTCCGAGTGAAGGACGGAGTATAAATCCAACTCTCATTCTTCTTCTTAATCTTTAAGGTGCTACTGGACTCTTGCTCTTTTCTACGGCAAAGTTTGCAGATATTTGTGGCCTTTAGTATTTTCTCTCTGTCAGGGAGGCCGACAGCCGGTCCTACACATGTTTACATGGACATAAAACTTGCTTTATTCACTGAAGTTTACTCACTGAGACTCAAGGAGGACAACGTTATAAAAAAGAATTCAGTCAGATGGGGACGGGAGGGAGGGAGGGAGGGAGGGCAAGGAAGACGATTGTAAGCTGCTCTGAGACTCCAGATGAAGAATGGAGGATAAATCCAGTTTCCTCCTCCTCCTCCTGCTGCTGTATAATCTAGCTCAAATCTAGCTGTATAACAATGTAGAGAATGGATCGGTAGAAGGGACAGGATAGCACAGTAAAAGCAAGGTTACAAGTATGGAAAATATGGCAGTAGAGTGGGGTCCAGTGTTCCCTCTAAGCTGAGTGTGAGCCAGCTCACAGTTTTTTAGCCTCCGGCTCACAGATTTTTGTCTTAGCTCAGGAAGGAGAGCTCCAGAGCAAACTAATTTCTGCAGCAGCCAAATCGCTCACTCACAGCTTTAGTGCCAGTAGCTCACAAAGTCGAATTTTTGCTCACAAGACCCCACAGCTTAGAGGGAACATTGGCGGGGTCCCTAACATCGTGCCCCGCGCCTTTCCTGGTGCCAGCCAAATGTGTTTTTAGGAAGCAGAAAGGTGCCCGGGCGGGGCTTGTACCCAGCCCCTGAATATAGGGGATCGCCAGGTTCGATGCCTGCAAAATGAAGAGAGACACTATCAGATGATATGTTAGCTAGCACCACCTCAATGTGTATACCTATTTTGTGTGTATTCAAGAAAATATTCTCAAGCAGTATGTTGCTTTTTAAAGGCATCCTGCTAGAGAGAGCTTTTGCCTGAAACGCCGAAGCACTACTGTCAGAATTTTCCATAACCCCGCTCCCTGACATTCTGTGGCCGCCTCCACCTCCTAGAGCAGCCGTTCTGTGGTTGGCTCTGCCTTCTGTGGCAGCCATTTTGTGTTTGCGCCCACCACCACCCTGTGTCAGAAGGCCACGGGTGCCCACAGCCTCCAATCAGTTGAGGACCCCTGTTCTATACCATGTATAATTTTGTAACTCTGCATCACATAGCCCTCGCATCACCCCTGAGGCTAAAGCAGCCTTCAGCCTTGCCTCCTGTGGAAGGCCATCCATGACTATCATGGTTGGCCATTTTGGGTGGGCTAACTCTCGGCTGCCTTGCTGTGTTGGGAGGACCAAAGGAATGTAAGAAGAGCCCTGCTGGATCAGACCGGTGGTCCATCTAGTCCAGCATCCTGTCCCACACAGTGGCCAACCAGTTCCTCTGGAGGGACAACAACAGGGCCTAGAGGCTAAGCCCTTCACAAGAACATCAAAAGAGCCCTGCTGGATCAGACCAGTGGTCCATCTAGTCCAACATCCTGCCTCACACAATGGCCAGCCAGTTCCTCTGGAGGGCCAACAACAGGGCCTAGAGGCCGAGGCCTTCAGAAGAACATCAGAGGAGTACTGCTGGATCAGACCAGTGGTCCATCTAGTCCAGCATCCGGCCTCACATAGTGGCCACCAGTTCCTCTAGAGGGCCAACAACAGTGCCTAGAGGCCGAGGCCTTCACAAGAACATCAGAGGAGTCCTGCTGGATCAGACCAGTGGTCCATCTAGTCCAACATCCTGTCCCACTAAATGGCCAACCTGTTCCTCTGGAGGGCCAACAACAGGGCCTAGAGGCCGAGCTCTTCACAAGAATATCAGAAGAGCCCTGCTGGATCAGACCAGTGCTCCATCTAGTCCAGCATCCTGTCCCACACAGTGGCCAACCTGTTCCTCTGGAGGGCCAACAACAGGGCTTCTATGGTAACATTTGATAGCAAACAGAATAGTTTCTTTGGTAACAGAGCAGAAGCAAAAGGTAAGAGCTTGTGTAATGTTGTTGACATTTTTGATGTGTAGGTGGATATCTTCCACCCTCTGTTTCTCTAGAGCAAGCTTTAAATACTATGTAAATATGTTCCTGTTTGTTGCATCAGAAAGATGCACATGTATATATGGAGAAATCATATTTTTTTCCTACGTTGCTTTTTCCAGTTTTCCCACTGGTATATGCTTGGTTTTATGAGAAAAGAGCTGGGGTCAGTAACCCATTTTCCCACCTGTGTGCAATGGTCAATGTCTATCCCAACTTGTTCAGACTCTTTGTCTGAGCAGAGGGCATCAGCCCCGAAAAGTTCCTACAAACTGCGGAAGAGAGAGAAGAAGAAGTAAAGGCTGAAGGACTCTGAATTGTGCCTTTGAGAACTTTGGTTCTAGGGGATGATGGGGGGCACTGTTATTGGGCAATTAAATGTAACTGGGGATGGTTAAAAGGGTTAAAAGATTGACACAGTTCATAAGAAGTACAAAGATGAAAAGTTTGAATGAAGTATAAAAAGCTAGTTGGAGATCTCCTCTCTTGGGTTTTTAGTTAGTTGTGGGTTCTTTACTTTCTCCCTTATATGTAGCTTTCCCTTTCCCTTTTTTCTGTTCTAGTTTTTGTAGTGTTTAAAAAATCAATAAAAAAATCCCCTCCAGGGGCTTTAAAAAAAAGAAAAAAAGAGCCCTGCTGGATCAGACCAGTGGTCCATCCTGTCTCACACAGGGGCCAACTGGTTCCTGTGGAGGGCCAACAACAGAACTATTTTGCAGCACAGACTTACACGGCTAACTCCTCCTCTCCTATCGATATTACCTTGAGAGTTTATGCACTCAGTCCTTTGAATTGACTTGTCCTGAACTGGAGGGCTCCCCAGCGCCTGTTGGCCTCCCCCCCAGGATTAGTTTAAAAGCTGCTCTGCCACCTTTTCAGTATTAACCACCAGCAGCCTGGTTCCCTTTTGGCTCAAGCAAAACCCGTCTCTTTTGTACGGGTTCGGCTTGTCCCAGGAAGTTCACTAGTGCCGAACAAGTCTAAACCTTTCCTCCCGGCACCACATTCTCATCCACACCTTGAGGCTCCAGATCTGTGCCTGTATAGAATCATAGAATGTGAGAGTTGGAAGGGACCTTGCAGGTCATCTAGTCCAACCCCCTGCACTCGGCAGGAGCAGAGCCGAAAGACAGCCCTACAACATACCCGAGATATGGCCGTCCAGCCTCCGCTTGAAAACGTCCAGCGAAGGAGCATCCACCACCTCCCGAGGCAGTCTGTTCCACTGCTCAACCACTCTTACAGTCAGGTCAGGAAGTTTCTCCTGATATTTAGCCGGTAACAACTCCCACGTGGAACTAGCAGCACTTCTGAGAATGCGACCTTGGAAGTCGCCAGTTTGGTGTCGTGGCTAAGTGTGCGGACTCTAATCTGGAAGAACCGGGGTTGATTCCCCACTCCTCCACTTGCACCTGGCTGGATGACCTTGGGCAAGCCGTAGCTCTGATAAGAGCTGTTCTTGAAAAAGAGCAGTTTCTGTCAGAGCTCTCTCAGCCCCACCTACCTCACAGGGTGTCTGTTGTGGGGAGGAGAAGGGAAAGGAGTTTGTAAGCCGCTCTGAGACTCCTTTGGGTAGTGAAGGGCGGGGTATAAATCCAATCTCCTCCTAATCCTGTGGTGTAGTGGTAGTGCGCGGACTTAAGTGATTAAGTAGTTTGGTGTAGTGGTTAAGTGGGCGAACTGTAATCTGGGAGAACCGGGTTTAATTCCCCACTCCTCCACTTGCACCTGCTGGATGACCTTAGGCAAGCCATAGTTCTGGCACAGCTGTCCTTGAAAAAGAGCAGGTTCTGTCAAGAGCTCTCTCAGCCCCACCTGCCCCACAGGGTGTCTGTTGTGGGGAGGGGAAGGGAAAGGAGTTTGTAAGCCGCTCTGAGACTCCTTTGGGTAGTGAAGAGCAGGGTATAAATCCCATCTCCTCTCCTCTTCGTCTTCCTTCTTCTTCTTTAACTTTCTGCCTAGTAACCTAATTTTTTCCCTCCAGGACCACAACATCATGGAGGCTGACCTGGACAAGAATGAAGCCCTGCAGCCTCTGGAGGGAGAGCTGTCTGGAGAGAAGCTCTTGACCACAGAATACTTGGGAGTAAGTGCCTTTTTGCTAGGGGGCAGCTCAACAGCCTGGATTCTTTGGCTTTCCTCTCTGACGTTTTCAGGGGGCCTGGGCTGCCCTGGTGGGACTTGGCCCCGGAGCCGTCCTGGGAACAGAAGCTGAAGCACACTGCGAAACTAATGACGCTTAAGCTTCAGGGCCCCTAATCCCGGAGAGGCCCGGACGCAACTTTTTTTTTTAATCAGCCAATTTTTCAGCAAAATTGATGGAATTTTTTAAACTGTCTGTTATTAAAATAAGGCTATTTTAGTGACAGACTCATACCAGGGCTATTTTTGGGTAGGAACGCACAGGAACGGAGTTCCGGCTGGCTCCCAAGTTGGCCACGCCCAGTAGGAACTCATTAGCATAATAGGCCACACCCAACAGCAGAAACTCATTAGGATTGGCTACATTAGGGGTGTGTGGCCTAACATGCAAAGAAGTTCCTGCTACAAAAAAAACCCCTGTGTTTTGTCAACAAACAAGGTAAAGAGAATAAGAAGCAAAAGGTGGGTGTGGCTGGGTGACCACACTTCTGGTAACACGGGGGTGTGGTCTAATATGCGAATGAGCTGTGCTGTCAGGGGTGTGGTCTAATATGCTAATTAGTTCCTGCTGTTGGGTATGGCCTATTATGCTAATGAGTTCCTGCTGGGCTTTTTCTACAAAAAAAGCCCTGCATAAGCCCATGGGTTGAAGTACTTAATATTTGTCCTCAGAATAGGCTCTAATACCCATTTCATAGGGCCTCAAAATGGCCCTGTAATTGGTCAGATTTCAACATTTTCTCAGGGGTTGCAACACCCGAACCCCCAGCAGTATGGACTCACTGAGCTCAGCAGAATCAGGGCTCTTATTGTAGCAGGAGCTCCTTTGCATATTAGGCGACACACCCCTAATGTTAGCCAATCCTCCAAGAGCTTAGAGTAGCCCCTGTAAGAAGAGCTCTGTAAGCTCTTGGAGGATTGGCTACGTTAGGGGGGGCGTGTCGCCTCATATGCAAAGGAGTCCCTGCTACAAAAAGAGCCCTGCGTTAATCGCCTACATTTTGGCAGCCAGATCCTCGAATCCTTCGTTGGCGCGCGGCTTATTTAGTTCTACAGCTCAGCCCTTAGCCAACCAGAACCATAAAAAGACAACCGAGTTCTCAATTCAGACCGCACTAGTCTTGCTTGTGCATCTTAACACCAAAAATTAGATTTTCACCTCGTTATCCGAACGAGCCCTGCCCCCTCTGATGACCTTCTACCGACTGTTGCTGGTTGAGAAGGGGGCCCCCATACCAGTTCAAGCTTCAGGGTCCCGAAAATGTAGGTCCACCACTGAGCTCAAGGCAAATCCACATGAGCCGGAGCGCCAGAGGCAAACCCAGCAGTCTCTGCAGAATGTTTTCCTAACCAGGAACTAGCTGCCAAATTGGAGGTTCTGGTTCCAGCTCTCTAGGAAGGATAAACTGCCAGGGAAGCAAGCCAGGCTGGCTGGACATGAGAACAGAAGATGAGCCCCACTGGGTCAGGCCTCGGCTTTATCTGGTGCAGCATCTTATCTTTCCAATGCATGCCTCTGGGAAGAAGCCTGCAAGCCAGGCCTCTCCTTCCCTGTTTTTTTTAACTAGTGGAGACTGGTATTCTCAGGTCTTCTGATGGGGTACACGGAGGGCCCCTTCAGCCATCCAGGCTGTTAGCTGTAAAGAGCCAGTCTGGTGTGGTGGTGAAGTGCGCGGACTCTAATCTGGGAGGATCGGGTTTGATTCCCCGCTCCTCCACATGCAGCTGCTGGTGTGACCTTGGGTCAGTCACAAGTTCTTTCAGAGCTGTTCTTTCAAGGGTAGTTCTGGAAAGAGCTCCCTCAGCCCCGCCTACTTCACTGGGTGTCTGTTGTGGGGAAGGGAAAGGGGTTTGTAAGCTGCTCTGAGACTCCTTTGGGTAGTGAAGGGCGGGGTATAATTCCAATCTCCTCCTCCTCCTCCTCTTCTCTTTGGTGCAGTGGTTAAGTGCACGGGCTTTAATCTGGGAGAACTGGGTTTGATTCCCCACTCCTCCACAGCAGCTGCTGGGGTGATCTTGGATCAGTCACAAGTTCTCTCAGAGCTGTTCTCTCACGGGCAGTCCTCGAGAGATCTCTCTCAGCCCCACCTACCTCACAGAGTTTCTGTTGAAGAGCCAGTTTGGTGTAGTGGTTAAGTGCGCGGACTGTAATCTGGGAGGACCGGGTTTGATTCCCCACTCCTCCACTTGCAGCTGCTGGATGACCTTGGGCAAGTCGTAGTTCTGTCAGAGCTGTTTTCTCAAGGGCAGTCCTCGAGAGAGCTCTCTCAGCCCCACCTACCTCACAGGGTGTCTGTTGTGGGGAGGGGAAGGGAGCTTGTAGGCCGCGGGGTATAAATTCAATCTCCTCCTCCTCTCCACCTTGAGGATACAAGATAACAGTACCCTGAACACAAAGTCTCCCTGAATTTCCCAGGAGGAATCATATAACTCCAACAACCAGCCAATAAGAAACAGAGATAGTAAAACAATTGGGGCCAGGAAACCATTCCCCCCACCGCCACCTCCTTCCCCTTTGGCCAACGGCTGGTGTGAAATAGCTAATGTCCCCCTCTTTGTCTTGTAGATAATGACCAACACACCGAAAGTAAAGAAGCCGTTTCCCGGCATCCACCAGAGTATCGACGAACCTCTCCAAAGGCCCGTGACGCCCGGTTTTCACAGGGCTGCCTACCCGACGTAAGTCCGGGCCCACGAGCCCAACTTCTAAATGGCTTTTTCTGCCTGCCGTGAGTCTCGCTAAAGAAATGTAACTCGGATATGCAGAAATAAAATTATCCACGTTGGACAGGACAGTGCCCTTGTTATTCTTTATTAAAAAAAAAAAACGTATCTGGAATTAAAGTAGTTTGCAGGGTCGCAAGTGATTGAGTTAGCCCGGGCTAGCCCAAACTTGTCAACTCTTGGAAGCTGAGCAGGATTGGCCCTTGTTAGTACTTAGATGCAGGGGTCATTTCCTGCAGGAGCGCACAGGAGCGGAGCTCCGGCAGTTAAGAGCCCAGGGGCGGGCACATGCAACAAGCCCCACCCCCTGCTCCCAGCAGCCCTCAGTCAGAGCAAGAAGCAGCCAGGTAAGTTGTAGAGCTCCCCCCGGTCCAAAACAGTCCAGTGGCACCTTTAAGACCAAGTTTTATTCAGGTACAAGCTCGGCGCGTCCCCATCTCCCCCAATAGCCAGCAATCCAAAACAGTCCAGTGGAGCCTGAGTGGTGGGTGTCACCTTCTGACACACTTCGGGTGATGTCAGGGGGTGTGGC